AACAAAAAAGAAAGGGAGGCAGCGTACTAAGGCTCAAAAGAAGAAGAAGAAGACTATGCAATGACTCCTCCAATTAGATTGAAGATTCTGTCTCGGTTATATCTTATATAATTGGTTTTCATATATGCTGCACTAGTTTACTATGGGTATTTCTGTTGATTACTGAATATCTTGAAGCTTTGCCTACTCATGGGTGCCTTTTGTTAGTATGGAGAATCTCATAACTTTGTTCACTAACTTAATGTTACAAGAAGCATATTGGTTGCCAATTATCTGGCTTAAAAATGATATTCACAATTTTAGACTCGTATAAGTCTTGGTTCGCAGTAAGGTGAGTCCCAGTTGCGCTGTTTTGCTAGACTCTGGAGAAGCATTGTTGTTGGTGACAGCTCGTACCCTGGCCTACTTGGTTTTGACAGAAACTGTCTCGTTTTCACAGCATCATGTTTATTTTCTTTGGATGGATATCACCAACAGTCATATTTTTGTTTGTTCACAAACTGAATAGGGACCAGAATGGCAGGGGTAATTAAAGCTGATACTGCATCTTTGTCTTCTATTATTTGAAGTTTAGCCTCTTGTATTATGTTTTTGAGGTGGCATCCCCCTTCACTGTCCAGTTTCCCTTCTTTTCTTGCATCTCATCAAGCCTTTTTTTCGTAGATTGGCTTTTATTTTGGCCTTGTTGTTGGGGTTCGGCCAGCCCCCTCCATTTGTACTTTCTTTCCTCTTTTTAATAATAACTTTCTTTTCTTTATATATATATATATATATATATATATATATATATATATATATATTTGTAAATAAAATGATTTTTATTAAAACAAAAGTAAAAGTACAACCAAGTGGGGTGGTCAACCCCTACAACCCAAACCAGTCCAAAAAAGAAGAAACCGTCTAAATGAAGACAAGATACATAAGGCTTCCTCAAAATACAACAAGATCAGGACAAAAATATGTCCAATTCCAAAAGCTCTAGAGGTATCTTCAAATGCTCCAGTAGGAAACCCTGAGATTGATCCAGCAACTCAAAAGAAATTCCAAATGCATAAACTTGATTCCCAAACACAGTAACCATAAAAAATCTGCAGCTATTGGGTTTGTAATTGACCCAGTTCCAGGAGTACAAAACAGAAGATTCTTTAAATGCTCCAATACGCCTAACCTCCTTGAATGTCAGTCGTATAGGATAGTACCTCCACCTGATTTCAACAATTAAAATAACAAGAATAGCCAAAAACAAAGGGAAGTAGGAAGTCTAGGAGGCCCAATGATCCCAAGATATCCTCCCGCTTAAACTCCGATGAACTCCGATGAACAACTTATTGTAGATGGTCAGCTTAAGACAGCTCCGGAAGTGCAGGACCCATGTCTAGATGAACCTGTTCTAACAGAGATTAATTTATTACTGATCGATGAAATAGAAGATGAATCGGCAAGAGGTGATCTACAAAAAGAATATGAGCTTCTTTTGCCCTTGTTTGAACAACATATTAGTGATGATTTTGAGCAAGCTCTTTGGGTCATTAAAGAAGCAATTCGCTCTCCTTTCGTCAAGGAGAAGATTCAGAAGGGCCTCGTTAAGACACTGGAGGGTAAGGCACTCAAAGCTACAAGGGATGCTATGAAGAGTGCGCAATCCATTCGGGTAATTAAGTTGAGAGGTACACGACATCCGGTTCTGTTGTGCTGTGCAAACTTCGACGAACCAATAATAAGGACCATGTGTGGTCACCTCATTGAAATTAATTAATATAAATTCATTCATATTTTGATGATGATGTATTTAGATTATAATAGGGACTTTAGGTCTCCCCCAATATTCAATGTAATTTTTCTTTTTAGAAATATTGTTAAAACCGAGTTCTTGAGATTTCCAATAAAGTTGTGATATTTCACTATGTGGTTTGATGTCAATGTTTGAAGAATTAATCAAATTCAGTTATATGGAAATTAGATATCTTGATCGGAAATGTCAGATACAAGTAAGAAATTCTCAAAGCAGTTGATTACTTTGAAGATCCTCTAATCCGGAACACTACATGATAACCGGATGTCTCACTACAACCTGCTGAAGGCTAAGTCATCCTGATCGGAAGACTAGCTCGGATCTCTTTCTCACCTGGAAGTCTATGAATGACTTTTCCGGATTTGTAAGCCAAAGAACCGGATGCCTCAAGAAAGACCGGAATTCTCAAAAGCAGATAAGTAAGAAAAGACTTAGAAAATTATCTAAGTCTTGAATGAAGAAATTCTACCCGTTGGTAAGGAAGAATCAATCTCTTGATTTTCAACGGTTAGATTGAAGATAATTAAGCTGATTCAAGAACAAATGACTTGAAGACAAAGTCTGGACCTCTCAAATTAAAGAGCTCGCCCAGAATTCCTAAACAAGCACTAGAAGACAAACTGAATAAAGAGCTACAGTCCAGAATTCTTGAACAACAGCTAGAAGACGGATTTTGTGGAAAAAGGAATCTCTCCTCAAACAATTGGGTACGTCCAAACACCCATTCCAATGAGGAATCCTCAATCACAATCTTCATTCAAAATTGAAGCCAGCAAATGCAACAGATAGTCTATTTTGATACAACGGATAGATTACCCAATCCAGCTATAAATAGCTTCCTTGGAAGACCGGAGAAACAGACCTGATTGATAATCAACCTAACATCAACGAGAGCAAAAGCTATCTCATTCACAGTTAGCCAAAAAGCTTGATAAAGAGAGATCTCTAAACTCCTTATCCAGAAGCAAACTTCTCCTCCTTCCAAAGAGCTATAGTGTAAACATTTGAAGGTTTTCTTGCCTTAAGTACCACACCACGTTGAAGGATACATCTTTTATTCAAACTTTTTGATTAAAAAGGGGGTACATCAACTTTCTTACAAGTTGATCTTGCAAGTCCTATTGTTTGAATCTTGCAGTTGTTGAAGAAGCGTGACCTTCGAAGGAACAACAAAGCCAGCACAAGTGCAGTAGCAACATTGGCCTTACGAAGATATACCGTGCAAAAATTCACACAAGTGTAATGGTTGTTCATTATTCAACAACCAACTACATACTGGATTTTGAGGACGTAGAATGATTGCCCCACCTTCGAACCTCGTTAAAGTTTGCGTGTCTCTCTCTCTTTTATCTTTACTCATACTTGCAATTATATTAAATGTGATACTAACCCATCCATATTGATTACTGCTCAAATAACCCACCAAATTCCGCGCACAATCTAAAGTTCACAAGAACTCTAGATTAACACTCATTTTCATGTTTTCAAAAGAAACGAAAAAGTTTATAAATTTGTAACAAAGTCTAATCACCCCCCATCTAGACTTTGTATATCACCACTTTAGGACCACCAATTGGTATCAGAGCAAGCTTCTCACTATCTACATTTAGATTAACGAGAAGCGATCATAATGGTGAACAATATGGATCACAGTTTGCCCAAATTCTCTCTTCTAGGTTATGATGATTGGAAGATCATGATGGAAGCACACCTCTACGCTCTACATGATTGCATGTGGATGGTGCTTGAAGATGGACCCTTAAAAATCCAAATGGAGAATCCTGAGAGGAATCCAACCAATCCAGATGTAGTGCAGTACATTCCAAAGCCCAATGAGAAATGGGATGATAGAGATTGCAAGAAGCACAATCTGGACAACGTCACCAAAGCAGCCATCTTCAAGACACTTGATCCCATCACCTTTTCCAAAATCAAGCATCTTAAGACTGCCATGGAGATATGGCAAGGTCTTGGGAAGCTGTGTGATGGATCAGAGGATCTGAGAAAGCAGAAGATAGAGGTCCTACTTGAGAAGTTCAAAAGCTTCAAGATGCTTCCCAGAGAATCATTTGATATGTTGGATGAAAGATTCCACAAAATCTTAAATGATCTTGCATCACTTAACCACGTTCTTTCTCCTAAAGAAAAGAATGTTAGGTTACTGAGGTCTCTTCCAACTGAGTGGTACACCAAAGCCACAGCCATGGAAGAAAGAAGAAATCTAGAGAACTATGCTGTCCAAGGTCTCCTTAATAAGCTCAGAACCTATGAGCATGAGCTGAAGAAGAAGAAGAAAGAACAAGTCACTCCTTTTCCCACGGCATTGATGACAACTCCCAGAGTCCCATCAGGTGAAGGGACATGCCCAAGGAATTGTGACACTCCTTCCTTCAGCCAGCCGTCAAGCTCAAAAACGGAGAACTACGATGAGGAATTTGCCATGATGGTCAAGCAATTCCGGAAGTTCAATAAGTTCTTCAAGAAAGCTGAATCAGTCAGAAGGCCATCCAAGAGAAAGCCACAGGTAAGTGAATCCCCTCCTGAATTTTATTTGTGTTATAACTGCAGGAAGCCTGACCATTTGAAGTCAGCATGCCCGTACTCAAAACTGGAGAAGTGCGGAGAAAGAGAAAGAAACGAGAAGAAGAAGGTAATGGTTGCAGCTGAAAGTGACGAGTCATCCAGCTCAAGCTCGGATGAAGAAGCCCTCGTCTGCATGAAGCGCAGAGTTGAGAAGTCCAACCATGAGGATCGGTAGACTATGTCAGAAGATGACACTCTCTGCCTTGATCAAGAGGTAACTTCACAAACCTCCTGCTCATCTTCTTATGAAAGCATACCAACTTCTGAAAGTCTTTTTGACAAGTTCAAAAAGATGATGAAAAATTTTGATTAAGCATATTTTTAATCGCTCAAATAATCATTGATTTTTTCATAATGTAATGTAATTTATTTTATTTAATGTACTATTGTCATTTAAATTTAATTAATTAATGAATTCTTATTAGTAATTTACTTTTACATTGTATTAAATATTAAAAAATAAATATTTGCAACCCTAATTTGAAACTCCAGGACATCAAAGTTATTTCCACTGAAACTATGAGATAACATAAATGAGGGTTAAAGCTGATGTGACAATGAGAGAAGGTTTGAATCACAAGTTTGAAGCTCCGAGCTTCAAACGTATTTCCAGTGCTCTAAGCAATCTTTAGAGGAACAATATCCAGATTCATTAAAAAAATTGTAATGCATTTTTGTCCGGAATTTCATTCCCAAGAATATGTACATGAAATGGGTTTGTTCTTGTCAATGTATCCATAATGATACTAGAGTACTAGAGCTCCCATTCATCTCACCGTGCGTGACGTCTTTTTTTAGTAGACTACCGTTATCTGACTCCAATGCTCTGGCCTACATGTTCTCTTCAAAAAACTGCAGACAGAGCGGTCTTCCAAAAAGATCCATTATTGACTCCAAGACTTCAAAAATATGGTTTAGCCAATGAATCCTGTAACCCGGAACTCTGGTTTGATGCATTATTAACCCATCCCATGTTGTGGTTGGTAGTAGGAAAACTGACAGAAGCTTCATGGCTGCTTAGATAGGTAAGCAGAAGATTATTACCAGGTGGTTGTTGCGTGTTTGCTCCTGAAGGACTTTGTATGCCCATCGGACCATAGTTCCTGGGCAGCATGAACCGCTCGGTGGACCCCACCATATCATAGGAGATGCCACGACACAACTCATTACACTCTGATACAACACTGAATAAGCTCTGATCAGAAGCATTTCCATTTGTGCATTGGGATTGACCAACTCTGCTTTCCAAACTAGACCAGACGCCACATTCTCGATTCTCACCCGAGAACCAATTCTGACCCAACAACACATCACCACAACCATTCAGACTAGAAATTTGTGCGGCCGGCATGCGAATAGAATTCATATCCCAATCCGGCATAGCGACATTCAAGTTCCCATGCCTTCGTGGAAATGGATATGTGCCTCCAACAGAGTACTCATTTCCAAGAACATTCTGATGCTGCATATAAAGATCGCTATGTTCCCCTTGCCTCAGCACCAAAGGGCAGGAAAATTGAGAAGGTTCTGCAATTAAATTGGCGCTACTTGGATGAAAAGTCAGTGAAGAATGTTCCTGCTTGTTGTGAACTGACCCAGGGGAATCACCCTTTATGAACGATTGCAAACCATCACTACGGTCATGATGGTAAGAGCCGATAAAAGATACATTGTTGGATTCTCCGTGCAACCTCTCCTTCCCAATATCATTTTTACATGACAGCCCTTCAACAAAGTGGGAAGCTCGATCATCCATAACTTGCGGATGTGATAGTGGCAGCAGCTCCACAGAAGCACAGTATTCATCATTCATTGAGGTAGCTTTAAAGACCCCCCTAGGCATGCTAGTGACTGGCCAAATGCTATTATTAGAAGAAAGAGGACTCCCCTGATTTAAGGCATCTTTGTTCAATGATTCTGACACTGATGGAGACTCTTTGTCATTTTTTTTTATGATATCATCATCACATGGTTCTGGATCCAGCTGGTAGAACTCATTAGTGACACTAAGAGGGACCATTTGATGCACCTGCTCATATGGCTCAGAACTAGAGCTGGACCAACTATCGCCTTTGATGGTAGCAGTGTTAAAATGGACCTTCTCCTGAACCATACAAATAGGCTCATCTGTTTCTTCCTCCTATGCATTAATTAAAAAACAAACTATATTGTAGAGATTACTGCAAATACAACAAAGCAAAGACCAATCTAATCCCAACTTCAGTGGGGTATAAGGTGTCACCATGTATGCAGGTGAATGAAAAAAATATAGATAGGCTGTTTCATATAACTCACTGCAATGTGAACGAAAAAAAATAAAATAATATATGATCAAGCCAAAAGAGTATAATCAACCTCCACCAACACAATGGATGAGCTGTGATCTCCCGCATCATTGTTATCAATTGGATGTAGGAGAAACCTATTGGGTGTACCTTCCTCGTCATCCTCGACACCCTATATGAAGAGGAACAAGTTATTTTTTGTTTTTTAATACACCGAAAACAAGCTTTCAGACCAAGCACTATACTAGCCTTATACTTGTGGGCGATAATATATGCTTAGTAGCAAGGTTGTTAAGGCTACTAAGCGAGGTGAGGCACCAGAGTAACATCACATCACCTAGGCGACAATTAGGCGGTAGTGATATGGTGAAATAATGCAAATTTAAATACATGTGAGCACACGTGCATATGTGTATGTGCATGCATGCTATACAATTATGTTTTTAGGTACTGATCTAAAAACATAAAAGGTACTCCCTCTATCCTAAAATTAACTTCCCTGTTTGACTTTCGTGGTCAAACTTTTTAAACTTTGACCGCATATTATACAAAAAATACATTGAATTTTATATAAATTTAGTATCAATATATTCATTTTGAAATATTTTATTTTTATAATTTATATTTATATATAAACATAGATATTAATGGTCAAAGTGTTGCATTGGAGACCGTGAAAAGACAAATGAGAAGTTAATTTTAGGACGGAGGGAGTAACTAATATGGATAATGTAATACTAGGCCTCCTTAACTTCAATTTCTCGAATTCTCCGACTGATGATGATGATGAGGATACGGAGTAATAATAATAAAAATAATAGTAATAATAATGATACTAATACTAATAATAATAAGTATTAATAATAATGTTATTATTATTATTAAATCATTCAAAGAAATTCTAGCATTTTAAAATGATGCCTTAGGCCCAATCTGATAAGTGTTTCTCTTTTTAAAATAAGGGGAAAAAATTATAATGAAAGAAGAAATATTCTCCATAGATTGTAGGTATTACACTATTACCGGATTAGTATAGAGTTGAGACTCACAAACAGTCCCAACTCAGTTTTCTGGGCAGACAAAAAATGGGAAAAAAGAAAAAAAAAGACCTACTGCTGCGAACCAAAGACTGACTACAAGCAATGACCTGAAAAAGATGACATATTTTTGAGATCAGAGTGCAAGAGCGCATCAACTTAAACATTCGGGACGGGTATGGCAAAATCGGGTGACCAGATATGCCTAGGCGATGCGAACAAGACGTCGTTAACAACTGAAGTAAAACTAGGCAAGGCGTCCAGGCTGCACCGCTATAGCGATTAGGTGACACCTTAATAACTATGCTCAGTCGCCAGAACTTCGGGCAATTAAGCTACATTATTCAAGTATCTCGGTCCTCAAGAAATATAACAATTATTTGAAGGGGCTACAAAAGCATTGCTATATTATTAAAATAGGGTGCGGATGGCCTTTAATCCCTGATAGAATGGAGCGCTCTGTGAGGATAGGGAGTAAGATAACGGACCTCTGCTGTCAATGTGGGTGCAATTTCTGTTACTTCTTTGCTTATCATTTCCATAGACTTGAGATCATAAAATACTCTCAAGCTATCCTGATAATAAAAAAAATGCCAACCCGGCAAAAAAAGTACATGCAGCATTACGCTAAATGCTAAATATTGTTGAAATCTTACATGTTGCTAAGCATACAAGGAGAAGAGGATTTCAGAAATAGAAATAATGAAAACAAGCAAACCTGACTAAGGGATCTCAGCTTTGCTTTAATTTCATGACATATAGAGTCCCTCACATGCCCTTTTTTTAATTGTCTCTTCAACCAGTTTGAATAATGTTCAGGAAGATCTCTTTTTGCCAATTGCATCCTGAAAATTGGGGGTGGGTGGGTAGGATGGAAATCAGACCTAACGAACATGCCATATATTACACTTACTCTTAAAACAACACTACAGAGATGCTAACCAGTGTTCATGTAATTTCTGCTTCTCTTCTTCCTCGTATGCTTCAAAGGGCTTCATGTGGAGATTTTCTATGTTACCTAGAACATTGTTTAGGGCCCTTGAGTGGATGCTATTGCTATTATGCTTCAGGCTATTCTTAATGCATTGATAGTGCTCCTTGCTAACCTGATATGACCAGAAGCAAAAAAATGTGGAGATGGATTTAAGTCCATAAGCTACAATAACAACGATAGTAGGTCTGGGGAGGGTGTGTGTATGCATATCTTGCGGCCTAATAGCTCCAGTGCCCCTTGTGGTTTGAAAAATTGGCACCAATACCCCCTCTATTTTCAAAACTTATTTCTAAAGACCCTGTGGTTTCAAAACGTAGCACTCACACCCCCTCTTATCATTTTTCGGCCATTTTCCGGCAAAGAGGGGGCATTGGCGAATAATTTCTAAACCATAGGGGGCACTCGTGCTCATTTCTTATTTTTCGTTTATTATTTGTGTTTTTCCTTCTTTTCCTTTTCCTAGATTTTTTTTATTTCTTTTCAATTTTTTACAATGTTTTAAAAAATTTTAAAATTCTGTGTTTGAAATAATAATAAAAAATTAACATACATTACATCTATCTCAAATTAAACATTTTCACTTTTTGTTTAATAGAATAATTTTTTGGAAAGTTCAAAAAGAAAACCCAAAACAATATGGAAAAATGAAATGAAAAAATTAAAATACGCAAAAAAGAGTCTTCTACAAAAAACAATTTGGGAACACGCCTAAAAAAATCAATAAAATTGAGATGTCCAAAAACGATAATCATTTTATTTGTTAGATTTAATCGTATTGTTTAATTCATGGTCAGAAGTTAGTTAGTTTAGATTTAAATTTTAAAAATAAAAGGGACAGTTTTGGATAGTTATTTCTGGAAGTTATAGGTAGTTATTTCTGGAAGTTGTGTTACTTAGTAATAGACGTGTTGATTAGTACCAATAGTTGTGTTGGTTGTTGTTTATAAATATTCCAGGAAC